GGGCAAATCTTCAGCCAAGACAAGGTTTGAGTCACCTTTCCAAGTGAGACTTGGTAGCTCTGAAAGGCAGGGGCACCAGCTAGAGCTGTGGTCAACAACCTGTCAATTGCGATCAACTGGTAGATCAGGAGGGCTTGTCCAGTTGATCGCAAGGCTTCAGGCCCCCCCAGCCTCCTCCCGCCCCACTGCTGCCACCAGCACCCTGCCACCTGCCTCTGCCCCCAGCAGCACCCTGGCCCCTGCTCCAGCGACAATGGAAGTAGCACCAGCTTCCTGCAGGCTGGGGGTGGGGCCCAGTCCCACAGCTGCATGCCACTTCTGAGGTTCCAGGAAGTGCACAGGCTGCTCCCTCCTCCCCCAAACACCTGGCGCATTTCCTGAAGCCAGGTCTGTGGCATGCCAGGCACTTCCTTCCCCTGCTGTCTTCCTGCATACAGCAGGGGGAGGGTAGGAGTTCCAGGAGGAGGCACGCACTGGGACTTCTTTCTCCTGCTGCCTTCCTGCACCGGGAGAGGGGGAATGTAGGAGTCCTGGGAGGAAGCGCGTGCCAGAGGACTCCTTATCCCCTGTCCCAGCACCCATCAGCAGCCTGCCACCTGCCCCAGCATCCTGTCCACTACCCCCAACAGCACCCTATCCCCTGCCCCAGCACCCTGCCACCTGCCTCTGCCCCCAGTGGCACCCTGCCCCAGCACACTGCCACCTGTCCCAATACCCTGTCTCTTGCCCCCACCAGCATCCTGTCCCAGCACCCTGCCCCAGCATCCTGTCCCAGCACCCTGCCCCAGCACCCTGTCCCTTGCCCCCCACCAGCACAGTTGGGGCCACATTAGTGAGGCTTGCGGGGAGGGGTCTGAGGGGTTGTTTTTTTGCATCTCACTTGTGTAGCCCCAACTGACTATTCTGTAGGTCAATGACCTCGGACTCAAAACAGGTTCCCTGCCCCTCTCATAAATAAAGACAATGCTGAAACGTTTTGTGTTTGACATATTTTATTTAAAAATGAAGCCTGGCCAATAAGCCCCGAAATTGAGGCCAAGCCCCCATCTGGCCACAGCATCATAACACTCCAGTACCCCCCTCTCACTGACCCCAAATCTGAGCCTATCATACACTGGATCCCCCTGTTCTGAGCCTCTAACATCCCCAGACTCCTGCACCCCCTCATCCTCAGTCTTCTGTCACAACACTCCTGCACCATCCACACAGCACAAATCTGTATCCTGAGCCCATCATACTCCCAACCTCCCTGTCCTGAGTCCCACACACACTCCAACCCAAATTCCTGCACCCTCACAAGCCTGTGGCTTGCTCAGCACCCCAACCCTCCACCTGACCCCAACACTCCCCAGCCTGGAGCCCTCTCCCCGAGTCAGCATCCATTTCTCCACATCCTCCTGCATCCAAATTCCCTCCCAGAGCTTGTACCTCTCACCCCTTCCCACACCCAAATCCCTCATTCCCACCTCAGAGCCCCACACCTCCTGTCTCAACCCAGTGAGGGTACAGCTAGACTACAAGGGACATGGGATGCGTCCAGGGATGTGTTTGTTCTTATGCATTTTTTAGCGGAAGAGCAAACACGCGCTTTCGGCAACCCCTGTATTCCTCGTTCCATGAGGAATAATGGGGCTTCTGAAAGAAGGGGGTTTTCTGACATTTGGCCCAATCTAAATCGGCCAAATGTTGGAAAAGCCTCTTGCGACAGAAGGATAAAAAAAGCAGCAGTGTAGCCATACCCTGAGAGTGTATAAGGGCTGGGATAGCAAGTGATGGAGAGGAGGAGAACAGAGATGGTGGGGCTTCAAGAAAGGGGTGGGATCTTGGGGAGAGGATGGGGTAGATCTTGGCTTGTTCTAACATTTAAAAAGTGATCTTGGGCATAAAAAAGTTGGAGACCACTGAGCTAGAGAGATATCAGGAAAGAAGCAAAAGATTCAGAGGGGTTGCTGTGTTAGTCTGTAACTGAAAAAACCTTAAAAAGTTTAAAAAAAAATCTTCCTTCATAGCAAAGGATGCGAAACCTCAGCTTCCTGAGTTCTCATCCTGGTGCAAATGCTCTTGCCCTCAATAGCCTTGAACAAATCAAATCAAATCTATATCTATTTCCCCCCCTTTAGAATAATTGGGCAACAAAACAGCGGATGAATTTTGTTGATAAATGCAAAGTAATTAGTATTTGAAAACATAATCCCAACTATACATATTAAACGATGGAAACTAAATTAGCTGTTCAGCACTCCCGCTGCACCTCTGAGAGCCATTCAAGGTCAGCCCCTCCTGCCCTAGCAATGACCCCCACTCAAGCCAGAGCCCCCTCCTACACCTCAAAGCTCTCATCTTCAGCCCCACCCTGGAACCCACAAACCAGTCAAATTATATGGGGTCACAGACATCAACAACTTTCTTCAACTGGGTCTTGAGAAAAAAAAGAGTCTGAAAACCACTGTTAGACTATGATTTAGCCAGCTGACTGCCAGAGTTTAAGTATCCTTCTTTAGTATAGTGTTTTCTGTCCAGCCAAGCAAGAAAACATTGTTTTCTCTGATTGTATTTATTATAATTGGGCAAAATCCCATTTCTTTCCAGTTCAAAGGCAAATCAATGCAAGCATTCTCTGCTCACCCCAACAAGGGTATATCTGAAGTGCCATTCATCCTCATTATGAAATTTCTTGCAAATAAAAACCTTGACAAAACAAAAACACATAACCTAAGAACTTCCACCATGCCTAAAACTAGAAGTAGATGTGCTGAACAGCCAGGCTACGTCTACACTGGCCCCTTTTCCGGAAGGGGCATGTTAATTTCAGCTATCGTAATAGGGAAATCCACGGGGGATTTAAATATCCCCCGCGGCATTTAAATAAAAATGTCCGCGGCTTTTTTCCGGCTTTTAGAAAAGCCGGAAAAGAGCGTCTACACTGGCCCTGATCCGGCCCGATACTCCGGAAAAAAGCCCTTTTCCGGAGGATCTCTTATTCGAAGTAGGAATAAGAGATCCTCCGGAAAAGGGCTTTTTTCCGGAGGATCGGGGCCAGTGTAGACGTTCGTTTCCAGCTTTTCTAAAAGCCGGAAAAAAGCGGCGGACATTTATATTTAAATGCCGCGGGGGATATTTAAATCCCCGGGGATTTCCCTATTACGACCTGTGAAATTAACATGCCCCTTTCGGAAAAGGGGCCAGTGTAGACGTAGCCAGCCATTGTGAATAGTTCTCTGAAAACATCCACTTGGCCCTGGTCTACACTAGGGAGTTATTTCAAAATAATCGACCTTATTTCAAGTGGAGCATCCACACTACAAAGCCTGTAATTTTGAAATATCAGGCTGGTTATTTAGACATCTGTACTCCTGCTTTCCTTGGGGAATAACACTTATTTTGAAATTGTTATTTTGAAATAGTGGGGGGGGGCCTCTGGTGCTGCTAATTTGAAATAATTGGCCTCCAGAGACCTTTCACAGTTGCACTTGTGGCTGCTCTGGCCACACTTGTAAGCTTCACTACTCCCCTTCTCCTGCAGAGCTTAAAACAGGATGCAGGAGAAGGGCTTGTGACAAGCCATGTGCCATGCAGCAGGAGCCGACGGAGCCATGGTAGATCCCAATGCTCCCTCTGAGCCTCCCACGGCTGCCACTGCCTAGGGACACAGGAGAGCCCTGGCCAGGAGAGCTCTGGTGCAGAAATCCTGGATCTCATCGATGTCTGGGGTGAGGACACCAACCTCCAGGATCTCTGCACCAGGAGGCACAACGCCGCCAGCCTGGCCAACAAAGGCCACATCTGGAACCTGGACTAGGTCCACATGAAGGTGAAGGAGCTCTGGCAGACCTACAACAAGGCCAAGGAGCAGAGCGGATGCTGTGGGATGGTACCATACATGTTCTGCTACTACAAACAGCTCAATGCCATCCTGGGAGGGGGGCCAGTCACGTCTTCCCCCCAGCATCATGGAGTCTGGCCAGGACATGCCTGGCATCAGCCTCCAAGAGGGTGAGGTTGCAGAGGAGGAGGAGGAGGACAGGCAGGTGACCATGCTCGTCAGCCAGGACCTGCTTCTCACTCTGGAGCCAGTCTCCCCCTCCCAGGATGTCTCCCAGGCTTCGGACAAACCCAGGGAAGGCACTTCAAGTGAGATCTATAACTTTCCCTATACACACACACGGTTGTGAGGGGCTGCGCCCTCCCTGCTCGGCCTGCTCAGCCTGGTGGTTGCACAACAGCCTGTGTACTTGGGTGCCCATGGAGTGCCAGTCTGGCGCACTCGGCCCCATGACGCTCTCACACAGGAACCACTCAGTCATTCTCACAGGATTACTGAAGGGGCCTGCCTTACTCTAGCCTCTGGGGTGGGGCACCTTCCCATGACAAGCCACCACGAAGGAGTGGTGTCATGGAAACACACAGCAGCACCACACCCAGTACATGATCAAGCATGGCAATGCGGAGGAGACTGATCCTCTGCAGGGGACCCTGCCAGTGGGAGGAGGGGACCCCAATAGCACTCTCTCTGGCAATGGTTGTCTGCCACACACACCTCCCCCAACTCCCCTCCAGCGGGCAAGGATAGAAGTTCTCTTTGTGCAGGACACTGCCAGCGCTGGACCCAGCGTGTGCAAGACACGGAAGGAAGCTGAGCCGCCCTGTCCCCCACTCCTGTCTTCAGGCTCCTGACTTTGCTTGCACCTTCCCAGGCTTGCTTGTCCCCAGGCTCTGTGTGTAGTGATGCTCCCCTGGGATGTTTGTGGCCCTGCGGGAAAGTGCCCACTGTCTAGGCAACATATGGCCTTCCTCAAATCACATCACCATTGTCTGAACCGAGTCCTTTGGTGCTGGCTCTGAGATCAGGGCTAGGCTTCATACACAGTGTTTCCTGGGATGACTGCCCTTGTCACTTTTCTTCACAGCTGCGCCAGCTGTGAGTGTGGCATGTCCCCCCCCCTCCACCTCCCACACCATCCTCCTGACTCCACAGGAAGAAACACAGCTGGGAGGACCTAATGAGGGAGCAGATGGCCTGCGTGCAGTCCCTCATCCAGGGGCTCATAGAGGAATGTCAGGAGCGAGCTGCTTACCAGGAGCAGCAGAAGCCCACCTGCAACCAGCTGGCCTGCCAGGATGAGGCCATGTGCTCCTTCCTCACCTCAGTGATTGAGCGCATGGCCTCGTACATGGAGTGGGCCACCAGCCACCCTTTTTTTCTCAGGCTTCTCCTTTCCAAACTAAACAAACCCAGTTCTTTCAATCTTCCCTCATAGCTCATGTTCTCAAGACCTTTAATCATACTTGTTGCTCTTCTCTGGACCTTCTCCAATTTCTCCATATCTTTCTTGAAATGCGGTGCCCAGAACTGGACACAATACTCCAACTGAGGCCTAATCAGCACAGAGTGGAGTGGAAGAATGACTTCTCGTGTATTGCTCACAACACTTCTCTTCATGAATCCCAGAATCAGGTTTGCTTTTTTTGCAACAGTGTCAGACTCTTGACTCATATTTAGCTTGTGGTCCACTATGACCCCTAGATCCCTTTCTGTGGTACACCTTCGTAGACAGTCACTTCCCTTTCTGTATGTGTGAAACTGATTGTTCCTTCCTAAGTGGAGTACTTTGAATACTCCTTTCTGTTGATGTAGTCTGAGGCACGGTGGTCGGGGGCCAGGATGAGGATGTGAGTGACATCTATGGCCCCCCTCAGTTGGGGAAGCCTATGGTGGCAAAGCCATCAATGATGCTGTCCACATTCCCCAGAGTGACAACCCTTCATAGCAGCACCTGGTCAATGGCCTTGGCTAGTTGCAGGACCCCGACCCCAACTAGAGATTTCCCCATTTTGTACTGGTTCCTGACGGAGCAGTAGAAGTCCAGCGTGGCAAGCTTCCAGAGGACGATGGCAATGCACTTCTGCAGGGGGATAGTGGGTCTTAATCAGGTGTCCTGTCACCTGAAGGCGGCTAGGGCAAGCCACTCGCATAGCTCCACGAAGGTAGCCTTCCACATGCAGAAGTTTTGGAGTCGCTGCTGGTCATCCCATTGCTGCAGGACAATGTGGTCCCACCAGTCTGAACTGGTTTCCCTCTACCTTAAGCTGCATTCCATGGTGTCCAGGAAATTGAGGGGTCTGTGCTGCAGCAGGAGCACCAGGACATACGTGATGAGGGCCTTCGGTCCAGGCTGGTCGTCGTTCTGCTGGAGCAGCATGTGGGCAGTCTAATGAACTGTGCCATGAGGCATAGCACAAGGTCCATGAGCCTGGCACTGCTTTGCAGTGGCTCTGGCTCCATGTTGTGAGCGCTGTAGTGTCCATAAGGGCAACCAGAGCACACTGCATCCGTTTTGTGTCCCGTGAGGGGGAGTGGCATGTGAGTCACGGCCATAGTAGTAGTAATTCAAGACTATTACACAGCAGACAGCTTGCTTACTTACCAGATCAGTGGTCGGGGACATCAATGCAGTGGTTCAGGACAGCGATTTATTAAATTCAGGATTCCCTTGTGTGGCGTCCTCACAGGTCTCCTGCTTCATCAGTGATGATAAATGTTCAGATGAGCTATGTGTTTTCATATGTCCCTCAGTATATCATGCCAGCTCTGTGCAGGTAGCTAACATCATAAACTTTACAAGAGCCCCCAAAGAACACGGACACAGATAAGATATGAAGGCACCCAAGTCAGGTTTATTGTCAAAGTGCATTAATAGTCATCGGTAGCCAGATGGCCTCTGAGTCCCTATGCATTTGTGACAATGGACTAGCTCAGTCAATAGTATGACTGTTACTATTGCCCCCTAGGCTGAACAAAGAGTTAAGTGAGGTATCCCAACATTTATAGACAGAGATGAAAAATCTATGATACACACCTTACGTATCATCTTACGCATTAATGACACGTTTGATACCTCTTGTACTTTCCTCCAGATAATTTCTATTCACCACCCATTGTTATGCTTTCACTTCTGTTGTTCTAAACTATTTTATTATGTACTAAGTTGGGTGTTCTTGTACTGTCCTGGTGGAATGCATTTACACATTTCATGTGCTTTTAGCAGTGCTACCAGCTCTAGTGCTTTCTTTCTCCTACAGAGAGGAGTCCCTGAAAGCATACATCACAGCTTGCCTGATCAAGCAGTCACAGGGAGTGTCCACCCTCCTGGTGTCCCCTCCCCCCCTCCCCCCGGAGTGCTTCTGGGACCTCTAACTCTGAGGCAGGCTCCAATCAGTGTGGATGTGCTATTTCAAAATAATTCTGACTAATTTCGATGTCACCCATTGTGGGGACAAACTATTTCAATTTTGTTATTTCGGAGTTAGTATTTTGATTTTGCTGATTTCAAAATTATTTCCTAGAGTAGACATACCCTCAAGGTTC